TGGTTTGAAATTATGAATATACATGGCATAAGGTACCAACATAAAACGTAACAATTCATTGCATTGTGTGTTGTGAATTAATCTGGGTCCAATGCTCAACTATGTGTTGTACCTTTTTTCGATTGACATCGACCCAACTCATTTATTACAGGGGCAGAACACTTTGGACCTAGACCGACCTTATCTAAACTAGTATAATTGTCTTAAACTATAATGAAATCAATGGTCGTACTCGTATAGAGACGTGATCAGACATATTTTGCTTTTCATATTTTTGGGAGAAGTTGGAATGATTGCACCCTCGAATTTGTAGCGTGAAGGGTAACACCCGGAAAAGTTATTCTTATTATTTTTTCAATGATTTTGAGTATCTAGAGTAGTTTATATGTATCTTAATTAATTATTCGAGATCTTAAAATTATAGGTCAGATAAAAACTTTAATGGTATTGATATTTAATTTTGAACACTAATGACTCGCACGTACAAAGTGCTAAGAGAGTCTTAAAAATTACACGGTGATAGATCTATGAGATTTGAATATGGTACTAAAATTATATATATTGCAGAAAATATAAATAATAGACTAACAAAAAAGGTTTTTATAGTGATCCGGATACTTAAAGCAAATCCTACATCCACTGTTATTTTATTGTTCTCTGGCCATTTCTACGATATTGCCCGTAAGACATACAAAGATGAAGAAATACTTTGCTTTACAGAGAGAAAAAATGAAGCTCAAATCTATACCTAACTCTCATTTGCCCAACCTTTCTTTTCGTGAAGAGAAGTGTCAATTTATACACTTTTGAGGTCAATGTCATGAGTGTTTTGCAAGTTGCCTTGACACATGAACAACTCTCATTCGTTCTTCTCTTAAAATGAGATAGGGTTGGTATAATATATCTTTGAGACGGTATGGGCTTGATAGGAAATATAATTTGTCTTTTAGGCACTTATTGAGCTGACATCAGAGTGACTTTTTAGGCATAACAGAAGCCCCCAATTTTTTAAAGTGCGTAATCGCACTTTAAAAACTCAGGTCTTTGATCTGAATGGCTGTCACACTGTAGGCTGCAGTCTCGAGCTGAAGAGCTCAAACTATGTTTGGCACGATCGGGTACTGAGAGCTTGGAGCGATCTGAAGCTAAGCGCAATCTGATAACTGACATGAAATGTCCAGTAGATGAATTCTTGGAGGGAGCTAACGTCAGAAGCTCAAACGCACGACTTAGAGGCCTTAAACAGATAAGCCAATTTAGAACAGCCATAACTTTTGATCCGGGAGGAGTTTTGGAGCCCGTAAGATATCCACGGAAAGCTTGTTTTGATCTCTACGTTGTGGCAATAGAGAAACCCAATTGGGCCTATTTTCGAGGCCAAAATCCACCGTTTCAGAGTGTTTCGGGGCTATTTTGAGTTTTCTACGCGTTTTTTCTTACACCAGCAGCTGGTCGCAATATGAGAACTGAGAATTGATCACGATCTGAGAGTTGAGAACACGACCTGAGGTTGTTCGCAATATCAGAGCTAAGAGCTGATCGCGATTTGAGAGTTGAGAGCACGACCTGAAGCTGTTCACAATATCAGAGCTAAGAGCTGATCACGATTTGAGAGCTAGAAGCTGATCGCGATCTAATAGGAGCTCGACCTAAGAGTTTGAGGCAAATGCACACAATCTCAAGTAAACGAGTGAGCTTATGAGCTCAATCAAAGAGCATAAGGAGCTCGACCAGAAAGCGCGGAAGGAGTTCGATCAGAAAGCGTGAAGCTTGATCTGAGAACTCGAGATCAATAATCTGAGCCTACGATCAACGATCTGGCCACGCGATTGGAAAGCTAAAGATCAACGATCTGAACGTGCGATCATCGATCTGCCCACACGATCTGAAGCTGAAGATCAAGATGATCTTAGCATGCTATCAACGATCTGGCCACGCGATCTGAAGCTAAGGATCAAGAAGATCTGAGCGTGCGATTAGTGACTGGCCATGCGATCTGAAGCTGAAGATCAAGACGATCTAAGTGTGCGATCAGCGATCTGGTTGCGCGATCTGAGAACTCTGATGCGTGCGATCAGCGATCTAGCTACGCGATCGGAGAGCTAAAGATCAGCGATCTAAGTGTGCGATCAACGATCTTGCCACGCGATCTGAGAACTCTGATGTGTGCGATCGACGATCTAACCATGCGATCAGCGATCTGGCCACGTGATCAAAGAACTTTGACGCGTGCGATATGAGATCTGGCCATGCGATATGAGAACTCTGACGCGTGCGATCTGTGATCTGACCACGCCATCGGAGAAATCTGATGCGTGCGATCTGGCAACGCCATCAGAGAATACTGACACATGCGATCTGTGATCTGGCCACGCCATCAGAGAACACTGACACGTGCGATCTGTGATCTAACCACGCCATCGAAGAACTCTGACGCGTGCGATCTGCGATCTGACCACACCATCATTGAACTCTGACGCGTGTGATCTGTGATCTGACCATGCCATCGGAGAACTTGGACGCAGGTTTGAGACCTGGGCCACCAAACTGTTGATACTTGATTTTAGACACCAACGACTAGCGCATGCAAAGTGCTAAAAGAGTCTTAGAAATTACATGTGATGGATCCATGAGATTTGAATATGGTGCTAAGATTATATATGTTGTAGAAAATGTAAATAATAGACTAACAAGAGAGGCTTTTATAGTGGTTCGGATGCTTAAAGCAAATCCTACATCCACTGTTATTTTATTGTTCTCTGGTTATTTCTACGATATTGCCCATAAGACATACAAAGATGAAGAAATACTTTGCTTTACAAAGAGAAAGAATAAAGCTCAAATCTATACCCAACTCTCATATGCCCAACCTCTGTTTTCGTGAAGAGAAGTGTCAATTTATACACCTTTGAGGTCAATGTTATGAGTGTTTTGCAAGTTGCCTTGACACATGGACAACTCTCATTCGTTCTTCTCTTAAAATGAGATAGGGTTGATATAAGATATTTTTGAGGCGGTATGGGCTTGACATGAAGTATAATTTGTCTTTTAGGCACTTATTGAGCTGTTATCAACATGATTTTTTAGGCATAACAAGTGGTTACCTCTATTAGCACCCGAGAAAGGATTTAAACATAAGACCTTTTGAATAATACACCTAAAAATCCCTATCGAATCATTCGGCCACCTAGAAATGGTTAAGAAATTTTTTTTTTTTTTTTTTTTTTTTTTTTTGGCTGATAAAGAACCAGATCAAACATGATATACTTTGTAATCACTTAAGAATAATAGGCAATAGGCATCCTCTAGGCTATAGGACATTAATCAGTTTTGTTTGGTTCGTTGAAGGATGTTAAATTCTTAACAATAGGATTATAAAATAAAAACAAAATGGTTTGATAGACCAGTGATCACACAGAGGAGTAAACATTGCCCATGCGTCCCTTCATGTGTTAATGTTAACACTTCCCCCTTCTCTCTATCAGAAAACAAAAACAGTAGCATAGCTGCCACCCACATTGTTTTATGTTGAGATTGGATGGAATGTTTCCTTTTTTTTTTCTTTTTTTCTTTTTTGGCCCAACGCATCAGCCCACAGCGCAGCATCTTAGAAACAATAGAACTTTTGTTTTTGGGTTTTGATACGAAAAATCCTGTCAAAAGTTTACGGCCCCATAACTCTCCTGAGGTTTTAATTGGTATAAGGAAAGGTTAGTGAAAAAATTACACATTGTTATGGGAAGAAGACTTGGATGCTAAAAGAAACTCTAATGAGCTATCTTTATGCATCGAACTTAAACTGTACTCTGGCAGTGCCTATTCACCTGAAGGGACAACAGGCTTCAATTTTAATTGGCCAAACCTAAAACTTGCTGTAATGAAATAGTAGGCATTTATGGCATTCCTGCTAGCGTTAATTCATATATTTGTTGTAGTAAGACATGGTCTAAAATGCTTAACAACCATTTCAATCCATGTATTTTTTTGCCAAATTGTTCCAAATCGAGTGTGTACAAAAAGAAGTGCCAAAAACAGCTTGATCTATAGCTCAAAATTTATTTTAGAATTTGATGAACTCGAGCTCTGTAGAAATTCACCTTGCAGAGTCCTAAATGCCTTCACATGGTTTTATCCCTTGTGGAAAATGGAAGGGCATCTAAATTTGCATTATTAGTTCAGATAAAAGGTTAGTTCAGATAAAAGGTTCTCTTGTTCCCCTTTTTTTTTTTATTATTATTTTTTTTATACCTTTCTAAAGCGAACAGAAGACAAGGCGCACCATAGGGTTAAATTCTTCAGCGATTGCTAATTAGCTTGCTTAAACGATATCATGATAGCAAAAGCATCATAATCAATCAGTACGCGTATTTCAAGTTGCTTTATGAGGAATCAAGTCTGCTGGACAGGCTTTGTTCCTGCTGACCTATCAATCAACTATATTTTTAGAATTTACTTTCTGGACAATAGGCATCTTTCACAGTATAAGTTAACTTCTGCTAAAGCATGATGTCCCCAACTTGCCAATGGGTTCTTTACTTCCCTCTTTAATACAATTCTCCAGGAATTTTTTCCCTTCTTAAAATTGTAAACAATGGTAGATGGTGATAATTGGTAATAAAGCATAAACTTCGAATTAGGTGCTTATCTACCCAATGGATTAATAGTTTATAATATGGAGATTTGTTATTAACAAAGAATAGAATGATGAATAAAATAAATTTCCATTCATTTTTCTCATAAAACAATTAATTAAAAAATGTTGAGGACAATAATGGATTGGACTGCTCAGAAAATCCGATAGAGCAGAACCAGAGATAGAGAATCTCAGGCCATGGCTGAAGCCCATCAAGTTGGTGGGTCGTACATTTTTGGATCTTATAAACAAGATGACACAAGAATGAAGATTCGTTTTGAGTCAGACTAACATTTACATGTATGCGGCGGTTTTTATCTTGTAGTGGTGGAGAGTTTCGCAAAACTAGAAACCAGAGTACCCAATGTACAAACACTAATAACATTTCCTTTTCTATAGATTTCCAAATAAAGACGAAAGTAACAAAAACAGATAAAAAAGAAGAATACAAGAAGGACAAGTCATCACGTGCTGATCACGTGGGTATTCTTATCCTTTGGTAAAGATCATAAAATCCCAAATCCATGGACTAGTGTCCACAAATTCCACCTCCAACCTTACTACATTTCTCCTCTGGACCCACTTAATAGCTCCCTACTGAGCCAGACTTAGGCCCCCACACCCCACGCCTAAAATCAACATAAAACATAAATATGGTTGATTTTCTTTACCAATTGTAGATAGATATCTTTTGATTCCTTTCAGTTATCAGCAATTTCATCAATCAATAATCTTGCTGATAAAAAAGATTATTGATAATATTAAATTATATAAACCTGTCTTTATATATTATAGTAGGAAGAAAATCACCATTTTTTTTTTTTTTTTACCTAAATTCTTGATAGTGCTCGCCGGATAACTGGACCCAGTAAGGCAGGGGCACTCAAGTGTGGTAAATGACCTTCTGTCTTCAAAATCTCCACCGTGGTACGCCCACCCAGATGTCTCCGTAGATATTCGGCTACTGATATGGGGACCGAGACATCCTTGGCGGTCTGAATTATGCAACACGGCACCTTCACTAGGCCAAGGAAGCCCCTAAGATCACAGTTAAATACGGTTCTGCAAACAAATAACGATATGTCTGGCCTCATATTGAATAGGGTCCGGCTAAATTCTCTAACAGCTGCTGGCACGTCTGCCCCCACTGCTAGCGGTGCAAACCCATAAACCCATGCCTCATAATTCCTTTCCATTGCTGTAAACACTTTCTCAATTTCACCTTGCTCAAATCCCCCATGATAATCGTTGTCATTCAAAAATCTGAACGTGTATATTTAAAGTTTTGATACAGATTCGGAGAAATAAAAGAAACCCAAGTCAAACTAGATAAAAAATTGACTTCCTAAATGATTTACCTTGGAGAAGCACCGATAAGAATGAGCTTAGTGAAGAGTTCAGGGCGGCGAATAGACGCTAAGATTCCAATCATAGCGGAAACAGAGTGACCAACATAGGCGCAGCGATCAACACCAAGGGCTTCGAGAATGTTAAGCAAGTCATCAACATAAGCATCAAGAGTTGTGTACCTACTAAAGTCAAAATAATCAGGATTTACACTACCGGCACAAACAAGGTCATAGAGAATTACACGATAGTGGGTGAAATATGGAAGAATGCGTTGCCAGGCGGATTGGTCAGTCCCAAATCCATGGGCAAGTACCAGAAATTTTTCTCCGGAACCTATAACACGAACATGGAGAGCTTCTAAGAGGATGTTGCCCATGAATTTTGGCGATTGGGAAAGCTTGATTAGAAAGGTTGCTGAGAATGGTTTGTTAGATAAGGTACTGTTTATAATTGTAATAACTAATATAGGTAGGAGAGGAAAGGCGTGGAGCCGTGGAGGTTTGTGGCTTGGTTATATAAGTCGTAGTATGTTTGGCACTGCTATTTATACCATTTTAGATACCAGCGTATCTTACGACACCTACATTCTGATTGGACAGTGTAAATGCCACAATGTATTATCTGCTTACTCTAGCCACACTCTTCTTTAGCCTGTCGGCTAATTTTCTTTCTAGTTTGCGTTATGAAAATAAGACCAAATAATCGAAGGTGGGAATTTATGACCTTAACCATAATTTCGACCGACTGGTATCACATAGATCGGTTATCATACTTTCTCACATATATAAACTCCATAATAAATCTTCTGAAACTATCTCTGAGGTTTAATAACCCTAATCAACAGAACTACTCATATCTGCCCATACTTTGAAGTTTGAACTGAACCGCAGTAGCTCTTGCAGTGGGCTCGTGCTTGTGGAAACTCAGATTTATTGTTGCACACTATTCCCATGTGTCAACATTCCTCGGTGCTCTTTAGTTTAATTTGTATACGATCTCAAATCGGAAGTGCAAAAAATTTGTAATTTCCTACTTAACTTTGGCTTGTTCTCAGCAAATTCCAAATTTCAGCCACACTTTTTCTCTCTAATTAAGTCCGAAAATAAGAAATGATAGGATAGCATGCACTCCTCTTGTATTCCCACTTTCCTTCTCACTAAACAAATAAAAGATAAAAGGAAAAAATGATCACCACTTATGTTGTCCACCCCCATATACCGACAGAAAAGTATAAATTTTTTTCTAAACTTTCCGACTAATTTAAAGTTCACAGCCTTAAAAGTAATAAAGTGTAGAGTAATGCCACATGTACAAATTGTTCTCTACAAACTAATGTGGAAACCCTACATATTTGATATATCATCTCCTTGAATTTGTTAAGTTTATTCCTCATTTAAAATTATCCAATCACATTAAAACACATCAGTTTGTATGAAAGAGAAAGATACTGTGTATATATATAGTATTACACTAGTGACATCCCATTGAATTTGCCAATTTTGTTCCTTATCTTCTCAATATTCTTTCAAAAACTTTGAATAGTGACACTGCGATTTTAACTAAAATTTGATGAGATGTCAGTCAGTGCTGCCAGTACCACAGATCGGTGATAGCTACCGTTATAAATTTTGATAGCAGAAAATGCCTGAAACAAACTAAAGTGGTGGGAAAAAAGAAAAAAAAAATGGAAGCTTTTCCCTCTCCGGTAGTCTAACTCAAGAGGATGAGAAATAATTTTCTCCTTCAGTAGTTCTAAAAAAGGTATAGTTTTGGTGTCTATTCACTAGTTTTTTATTTAAACGTAACACAAAGTTTATTTGCTGTTAAACTGATGTAAGATTATACAGCACATGCAACAGTGGAGCGGTGACGTTACTGATGATGAAACATTGGAGCATGCAAGGCAGCTATTAAAAGTCAAGTAGGATAAGAGACAACATGCACAGCCGCATTTGGCCAAGCATCTGAGATTTTGAGTATCTAGTCTAGGTATGCATACAGATTGAAGTGAGTGATTAGTGTCCCACTTGGATAAGCATTGTAGTGAAGGCTATAGCTATACGCTGGTGTGAGTGTATGTTTCTCTCAGAATCACCTTCACGAGTTATATCAGATATAGAAGAACAGTAGGGTCACTGGGTCATCACAATATTGGAATCTGATTCAATGGAGGTAGCCTTCACTTAAAAAAATTATACTGGTTACATTGGATATGGTCCATCTTCTTCTCGTTGCCGCATCCAGCTTATTGGCCAGATAATTGACTTCTCCACTCTTCTCCTCTCTCTCACAAATTTCTTCTGCAACTACTTTTCCAAAGATAAAGCAAAAGCTACCAGAAGCATACTCATCTTACATTACTCTGTGATCTTATCCAGTTACCTTTACTGTGACTAATCAGTATCTAATAAAGTGCCGTCATTAATTAATACTTTACATTTCAATATTTTTTCCAACTGTGTTACCTCTTTCCACAAAAAGTTTAGTTTATTATTACAACCAACAAGCAATCGATTATGAGAAATAAAATCAAGCGTATAAGTCTTAAAGTTACGCGTGGCTCAAACAATCACTAACTCATAACAGTAGCTTCATTGCGTCATATAATTAATGATGGAACCTTTGTTTGTAAATCTTATCTTCTCTAAAGTCAAAACTTTCTCTATAAATCAAATGACACGAGCATGCAAAACGTATTAATTAGTGTTTGCCCTTTGTTTATCTGTACTGTAATCTCCACTGCTTTAAATATGTTTTCACCTGTATATAATATATGATTTAGTTGATGAGAAAATTTAAGAACGGAGCCTTTAGATGGGACCATGGGATTCTGCTGCAACGACTACGAGGAGATGGGGAAGACAAGGTAAGCATCAAACAAAAACCACATCAACCCAATTACTTCATTTGGTTTGAGTGTTAGCTTAGGTAGGCGAAGGAATTCTAAGGAAGATAGCTATATCTCCGTGCAGGCTTTCCATTAAGGAAATAAAACAGGTGAGGACATGACTCACTCACATGAGTTTAGAAAGTTGCATATTAGTCGTGGAGTTTGGGTCCACCAATGAACCCCAACAATTGACATTAATAATGGGCAGTTGTGCACTGGCTCTACAGTACAGTTTCCTACGGCAAGTTTCGGAGAAAAGTCTTCATTGATTTGACGAGTCATTGGGCTTATCTTATCTACACTTTTCTTTTCCTCTTTCCTTACTTTTGTTATTTAGCATCTACATTTATTCGATTTTGTCTAGTTAGAATGAGAATGGTGAGTAGGATAAAGAAGAATGAGAAGCAAAAGGATGAAGAAGACGAAAGATTTGTAAGTTCAATTTCTTAAAGTTATGCAACATATGTACATTTCCACAAAGACTAGTGGTGGTACACCAAAACAATCAAATAGGTTGAGCAAAGACCTTGAGCTTTTTTGTAATGAGGTTCAAGTATCTGATCATTTCCTTAGCTTATTCTTAACAATTTGGTTTGACTTGATACTGTGCGTAAATTGGGAAATTCTATGCAAAAATGAAGCTTCCAATAATATTTTAGTTGACCAATCGATTATATATATCCAAAGAGTTGGCTATTTTTTCTCACCCAAATAATGGTTTAATGATATTTTCTCACTTACAGACTTTTAAAATATAATTTTATTACCCTAATTTATATTCCGACGATGAATAGAGAGCAAACTCAGTCTAGGTTATTGAGGCTTTTGAAGAGGCGAGACCAATGAGTCTTTGGTGGTGAAAGATTAGATTTTAGTGGTTGGGTTTGATTAAAATTTGATTTGAGAAAGGCGGCTATATAAATCCTAATTAATTAAGTCGATGAGAATAGAGTTTAAGGGGTTTTAGTAAGTGATGATTAAAAAAGATAATGATGATGATATGGGATGTCAAAATTGAATATAAAATATAAATTTGAATAGTAAAATGATATTTTAAAAATCTGGACCGAAAAAATTGGTTCACTCTTTTATAAATAATGAATTGTCCTTATAGTAAGACAAAAATTGAAGGGAAAAAACATTGGCATTAGAGACCAATGGGATCCCCTCTGCAGCGTTTGACTTTGGAGTTGGAAGGGATAGATATGTGAAATTGTTACCATCATCGTGTTGCAGTATTATTGGACAAGTAAAAGTAGGCGCTTATTCGTTTTCAATATAAAATTTCGTTACGTGCAATTATAAAGAAGAATAATTGGGTAAAAGAAAAAGTTTGCCTTTGGCACATAAAAAGAAATCTAAAACATTTATATAAATTGTTATTGGAATCCAAGTCATTGTAAAAAGGGGCATCATTACGTAGGAGATTATTACAAGAGAATTTCGACATTATTATATCCACTATAAATCATTTAATTTTGTTTTCCATTTCTATGATGTATTAATTATTCTAAATATTAGTTCTGCCTTTTAAGGCATGCGCCAAAGCAACTTTTTTCCACTTCAACGTGGTTCCCATTCCCAGATTTGAATGTGACACTGACATTGCCATATATATGATGGATCCAGATTCGTGTACCCGGGATAACCATAAGGCAGATTTGTGAGTGTGACCAGCTTCTTCTCAGCCTCAAGTGGGAGACCTCTGTTTCGTTCCACCAGTATGATTTGATTAAAGGTGGTAAACTATTAATCATTCTATTTAACAATTTTATCATTTCTTGTAGGAAATCTGGAGCCTTTTCTTTTGTGAAACATGACTTTCCCTGAAGCTTGGACTGAACTTTCCTGCAGGATTTACATTATATTACAACGCTATCCTTCAATCTGAGTTTGTCTTTTGTCTTGATTATATGATTTTAAGGCATATATGTTCTTAATATCAATCCGAGGACCCTTGCTGCGAACCTCTTGAAAGTAACTAAATGTCAGAAACGAGGCAATAACACCCCGGGCCCCAGCCCCCAAGCCAGGTTTGTAGAAAATTTGTAGCAGTCGTTCTGTCAAAGCTATATACATGCAACAGATATGAAGAAAATTGAAAAGTCTTGGACGTTCTGATGAACAAGAGATGTCCTAACGAAAGTTATGCTTGAAAAAGTAGGGCTAATGTAGAGCCCTGTCAACGTAAGCGATCAGAATTTAGGTAAGTCCTGTAGTCATTTAGACGTAGTCACGTCGCACGCTGACACAAGTGGCATGCTCTTGCCAGTACAGTGGTTGTGCGTCAGATTGATGAAAGACTGGAGACGATCCGCGTGTTCAATCCCTGCACACGTCGAGTAAATCACTCGAGCAGTTGAACAATGGGACGCAAGAAAGGATTTGCATGACAATTTGACCTATTTACAGATTTAGTAATCATTACCTTAACTCATCCCACTATAAATAGAGGGTTAATCTCCCGTTTGTGAGATTAGCTAAATTCTCCCTCGAATAGCACATATATACTCTCTCTCTCTCTTGTAATCTCTTGTAAGTTAGCTCATTGAACGCAACCTGATCTCATCTATTAATATAATACTAGTGGACGTAGGATTCACTTACTTAAACATCTGAACCGTTTTAAATATCGTTCTTCATCTTTTATTCAGTTCAATACCCCCATACACGTGTGTCTTCCGAGTCAGTTAAACATTTCCCATTTGCATTTAGTTGATGTCAAAATCTCGCATCAACTGAAATAATTTAATAATTTAAATTATACACCTGAGCTCGGTTGAATATGACTTGACTCCAAAAACAGCAAAGTGCGCAAGAATTAAAGGATAAGAATAGGAGGAGTGAAATCATAAAGTTTGAGGCACAGTTTGTTCTTGGATTAAGTCCACCAGATTAATGGATTCCTAGCATTTTGGTGTACTGTTCAGTGTGCTTCACAATCGAATTCTTGTTTCACTGTTCTATCCCCTGTCTGATGCTATCTTCTAATAGTCTTATTCATGTGCCTAGAAAGCTCGTTGAAATATGTTTTTGTTTTAGAAATAATTATTCTTTATGTTGATTTTGATAAAGTGGACTTGGGTATAACTCATTTTCAAAAGCTAACTTAAGGTTGATAATGTGGGACCAATTCAACTTTAATACCATCCCTCACGATGGCAGTGGTGTGCAAGGTTGAGTCCAAACCACCATCGCCTCAAACAAACAAACCAATTTGGTTTGTGGGACAAATTAAAAAACCAACCGCATTGAAAAACCGGTTAACAAAAAAAATGGTTCGATTAGAGTTCAAAAAATCGGATTTTCAGTTTAGTTACCGATTTGAGAAAAAATCAAAACCGATTAACTTAACCGGTTTAAAAAAAATATATATAATATATATATATATATATAATAAAAATAAAAATAAAAATATATATTAGATATTAAATGAAAAAAAAAATCTAAACTAAATCCCAAATTCCCAATATCCCTTTTCACTCTCAATTCTCAAAACTCTCCACCGTCAGTCCGTCACCACGTCACATATACTCCACTTCTCCTGTCTCTAGGCGTCCACACTCCACATTACACTGTCGCTCTTTTTCGACAACTTTGTTGTCTTCTTCCAGGCTCTAGTAGCTTCGTCGTCTTCTTCCAGGTTCCAACAGCTTCGTTGTCTTCTTCCAGCAGCTTCGTCATCTTCTTCCAAGCTCCAGCAACTTCATCGTCTTCTTTTGGCAGCTTCGTCGTCTTCTTCTGGCAACTTCGTCGTCTTCTTCTAGCAGCAGGACAAGTCTTTTTTAAAGCGGTTAACCTATTTTTGGGTAAACAAAAAAATCGGTTTCCCCCCCCCCCCCCCCCCCCCCCCCCCCCCCCCCCAACTAGTTCGGTTCAGAAAAGCGGTTAACCGGTTCCGTTAACTGCTTTTGAACCCCCCTACTCACGGAGGAGTGCAAGGTTGGGTCCAAACTCACCATTGCCTCAAACAAAGAAACCAATTTGGTTTTTTAGAACATGATAAAGTGAACTTGAGTAGAATTTCATTCTCAAAAGCTCGCTTAAGGAAGGAGAGAGTCTGACCACTTAAATATATCATAACAACCCATTAACTTGACGACATGAGACAAATTTAACTTTAATAAATTTGACTTGATTTAGATTCACCATATATATTGCCTCTCCTTGTCCTTGGAGATCAAGAGGATGTATCCTCGAATAATTGAAGCTTTAATATGCAAGTTGTTTTGCGTTCTGTAATGGAAAGCCGTGCTATTAACAATTGCTAATTGCCCATGGGCCATGGTATGTTTTGCGCTCTATGGAGAATGGGGTGAAGCCGAAATTCCTTTCATTGATCCAGATGGCCCGAAAATAGGTTCTCAATTCCTATGGTCCAGCTACATTCAAGACATTTCAAGTACCACTTCAATAGAGTGGTGTGGTTGACCGTGAACACATTGACAGGGGATAAGTTTCCTTGTGGGCTTGGTTTGGAGAAACTTTAGTTGGTTAAGTTTCATTATATTGGGCTAATTTGTTAGACCAACTCTAACAACAAATATTAAATTGGTGTAATTTTTATATTAAATTAGCGCATTCTTTTACTATTGCATCAAATATTGTGCTAATAAGAATATTTCTTAGAATTTTTTTATTAATTCTTAATAATTAATTAATTTTACTAATTATTTTTGTATATATTAATTAAATATTATAAATAATATTTTTAATTAATTAATAATAATTTTGAAAATTATACTAATTTAATAAAATTAAATATTTATTAAATGAAATAAACATTATAGATCTGAAACTAATCTACCATAATACTAAATTATTATTCTAGTTTATGTTGTATTTTTTTTTTAATTTGAGTGTTTTTAAATTAGTATTAATTTAGTTTAAGTTATTGAAGTTTAATATTTGCATTGAATGAAATTTTGTTTTTAATTTTCATCATTTTTTAATTATATAATTATGAATTTATTATAAATAATAATTAAATTAACATAAATACAAATAACAAAAATAGAAAATAAAATATGTTTTGTGATGGATAAATAATATCACACTAATTAGTATATATAGATGAATAGTATTACACCAAATTTAGTATGATATTATTTATCTACACCCGTGTGACTTTTAATGTGTGATTAGAGCAAAATTTTGACACCAAAATGGTATCTCATTCGAGATGGCCCTTAGTGACTATCGTAATGCGACAAGGTTAATCATAGAGGATCACATGCACCGACCAAAACCATTTCCATGTCCATGGAAAACACAACTGTCTGTTGTCTCACAATAATTGCTCGAAAACATGGCATCCACTTCGAAGAGTGAGATATTTTAAAAACAAATAAAATACACTGCTCTATTTGATTACTTTTAGAAAGTACCCGATAAACGAGGTCTACCTCCCACCGCCTGGATTTAAAAAGACAAATTCATGAACACTTGTTATTATTACCAAAAAAATTCATAAATATACTTAAGGTTTCTTAATTTAAAAAATATTCTTCTACTTCAGGGAAAAAAATAGCCCCACTTAGAAAAAACAAAAGATATTACTTTAGTCAATATTATATTAAAACTTTATTTAGCCTAGAAACAGTGTACAGTAGAATGAGATAAAATACTTTATTCCTGATAGGAAAATTACACGAATCTGAAGCCCATTTTCAAAGGTGCTCCATTTAAATTAAAAGTGAGTTTATTCATCAATTTAAAATTCAAAATTATAAGGTGGTACAGCATCCAATTGTTCTCTGACACGTCTACTCATGGCCCCCAACCCAATCGACAACAATAAATTAAAAATAGAACGCACGCAAACCAGAATACCATCTGCCGTATATCGTTGGCCACTAACCCACACGGCTGAACTCGCTAACACGTTTCCGATCTAATCAGAGACTCAACTAACAGTACGTCTTCTTGACCCAAGTCTGTGGTTGTGTTAGTCAATAACATTGACTTTAATTTTCAGGCGGAAATAAAGATTGAATGAATTAGAGACTAAACCAAAGCAGTTACTGTGGCAAGGTCTACCTAATGTTGTTGTGAAGTCAATTCACAAGTACCTTTCTAGAGCTGTTTGGAACAGAAGAATAAAGAGCATGTCTTAGTAATCTAAAATCTTCTAAAGTAGAAAATATATATTCCAATTCGAATTATTCACTTTAATGTTTTACACGTTCTTGCTTATTTCCTTTTCACTTTTGGTACTATGTGATACTTGAGCTTTCCCTTTTTTTTTTTTCTCTCTCTTTCTCTTTATTTTTTTTTTTTTTTCTCTCTCTTTCTCTTTATTTTGTTTTAAGACAATTTTGATTTGCGTGTGTAGATAGAGAACAGGGATGGAGAGCTACTTGAACGAGAACTTTGGAGATGTGAAGGCGAAGAACTCATCAGAAGAGGCGCTACAGAGATGGAGGAAGCTCTGTGGATTTGTGAAAAATCGGAAACGAAGGTTCCGTTTCACTGCTAATCTTTCTAAGAGATTTGAGGCTGAAGCTATTCGTCGCTCAAATCAGGTTTCAGTTCTCTTACTATTTTTGTTTATTGATTTTGAACACTAAGTTTTTCCCGTTTTGGTAAAATATTTTGTTTGTGAGGAATTGTAGATGCAATGACAGTAATAAGTTAATATATCCTTGGATCGTATCTCTAATCCTGTTTCTATTCTTATGAAACTGGCCGACTCAAATATTTCTGCTTCCTTTGATATCCTTGGGGATGGAAAGTTGAGCTTATCTTCAGCATATTTTTAAATAGATCTCCTTGATTACATGTTATTAAGTTTATCTATGTATGATTCGAGTTAGAAAATGTGTCAGTGGTTGCAGACTCTGTCCTTCCGTGCATTAGTTCACAGGGTGACACTAGAAATAAGCTAGTTCAATCGCAAGATGTAAGCTAAATCCTTTGCAGCATGTGGATGAAATGTTAGCTAATGGATGAAAGTTGTGTATAACTTAAGTTGTGAATTTATTAATGAAGTTTCCAACTTTCAATGTTTCAATTGCGTGTTGTAGTAGATAGCTGGTGCTGGATTGACCATTATTCTACTCTTGGTACATGATTTGGTGTAATGTTAGATACAGTGACCTAAGTGACTTGGCAATTATACATCTTAACCAAAGCTGATGGCCTTTGAATATATGGAGAAAGTAAAATGCCAGCAACAAAATAGCTTGGTCACTGTTATCAGCCTGTGAAACAGAAGTTGGTCGAGTGGAAATGCGGTCATGTTATTGTGCAGTTCTATCAGGAGAATTGATATAAAAGAGTTGTGTTATTCAGAAGCAGTCAGTTGACCATTTCAAAGTGAGGCTTGGATAGCCTGTTCTGGTAACGGTCAGGATGCTTTGCCATGAATATTTTTTTCCAAGGCAGTTGTTTTATTAGAACTTATAATTGCATGTATTTGAGCAAAATCGATGCTACTTGGTGAATAACAAAATCAGGTGGGGTATATTGTGGTTTCTGGATTCTGTTGTAGCCTCTTAAATTACTAGATAATGATAATGAAATGGTTAGCATGAAATATTTTAATTAGAAATATAGCTTCTATAAAGAATAAGAAAACAGAATATGTGAAACTTGAATTTTTTCATGTTCTCGCTTTTTAATGTTCTTTCCCAACCTTTAACATTTTAGGAGAAGTTTAGAGTTGCAGTTTTGGTTTCACAAGCTGCACTTCAGTTAATCAATGGTATGAATCTTCAAAACTGGTCAAACTTAAAGGTTGAGATGTTCTGAGTTTTTTCTCCTCTTTATTTCGTGTAATACCCCTGAATGCCTACAGGTCTAAGTTTGTCCAGTGAATACACTGTGCCTGAGGAAGTAGAGGCAGCAGGCTTTCAAATATGTCCTGATGAGTTGGGATCCATTGTAGAAGGCCATGACATCAAGAAGTTCACAATTCATGGTGGAGCCGAGGGTATTGCAGAGAAGCTCTCCACATCAATCTCTGATGGTATTTCTACGGCTGAGCAATTGTTGAATAAGAGGAAAGAAATTTATGGAGTTAATAAATTCACCGAAAGGCCAGCTCGAGGATTTTGGCTTTTTGTCTGGGAAGCCCTCCAGGATATGACCCTCATGATACTTGCTGTTTGTGCGGTTGTCTCACTGGTTGTTGGCATAATAATGGAGGGATGGCCTAAGGGTGCCCATGATGGGCTTGGGATTGTTGCAAGCATTCTGCTTGTCGTGTTTGTTACTGCCACAAGTGATTATAAGCAATCTCTGCAGTTCAAAGATTTGGACAAGGAGAAGCAAAAAATAACTGTGCAGGTCACCAGAAATGGGTTCAGGCAGAAGATCTCAATATATGATTTGCTTCCTGGAGACATTGTTCATCTTTCCATTGGAGACCAGGTCCCTGCTGATGGGCTTTTTATTTCAGGGTTTTCTGTGCTGATTAATGAATCCAGTTTAACAGGTGAGAGTGAACCAATTAGTGTGAATGCATTAAATCCTTTTCTTCTCTCTGGAACCAAAGTTCAGGATGGTTCGTGCAAGATGCTTGTTACTACGGTTGGGATGAGAACCCAATGGGGGAAACTGATCGCTACTCTTAGTGAAGGAGGAGATGATGAGACCCCATTGCAGGTTAAACTTAATGGGGTGGCAACCATCATTGGGAAAATTGGCCTCTTTTTCGCTGTTGTGACTTTTGCTGTTCTGGTGCAAGGATTATTTAGCCACAAGCTGCAAGAAGGAACACACTGGACCTGGTCTGGAGATGATGCAATGGAAATATTGGAATATTTTGCTGTTGCTGTTACGATAGTTGTGGTTGCTGTTCCCGAGGGACTCCCATTGGCTGTCACATTGAGCCTTGCTTTTGCCATGAAAAAGATGATGAATGAGAAGGCTCTTGTCCGCAATCTGGCTGCTTGTGAGACAATGGGATCAGCTACAAGTATCTGTAGCGACAAGACTGGTACGCTAACTACTAATCACATGGCTGTTGTGAAAGCATGCATTTGTGAGGAGATCAAGGAGGTAAGCAACTCTAAGGAGACTCTTGGCTCTTCTATTCCTGCTTCGGCTTTGAAAATTCTACTTCAATCAATATTTAACAACACTGGTGGAGAAGTTGTTAAAGGAGAAGGCAACAAAACTGAGATACTGGGGACGCCCACTGAAACTGCTATTTTGGAATTTGGCTTGTTGCTTGGGGGAGATTCCCAAGCAGAACGACAAGCATCAAAAATTGTGAAAGTTGAACCTTTCAACTCTGTGAAGAAGCAAATGGGAGTAGTTATAGAGCTCCCTGAAAGAGGATACAGGGCACATTGTAAGGGTGCTTCTGAAATAATATTAGCTGCATGTGACAAGTTTTTAAACTGTAATGGTGAGATTGTACCGCTGGATGAAGCAGCCGTCAATTATCTAAAGAATACTATTGACCAATTTGCTAATGAAGCTCTGCGAACTCTATGCCTTGCTTTCGTGGAAATTGGAGATGAATTCTCTGCTGAAGATCCTATTCCCACTAATTGTTACACTTGTATTGGCGTTGTGGGTATCAAAGATCCTGTGCGACCTGGTGTTAAGGAATCTGTTGCAATCTGTAGGTCAGCTGGCATTACTGTTCGGATGGTCACAGGAGACAACATAAATACTGCAAAGGCTATTGCTAGGGAATGTGGAATTTTAACTGATGACGGAATTGCAATTGAAGGCTCAGAATTCCGGGAGAAAAATGATGAGGAATTGAGTGCACTTATTCCAAAAATCCAGGTGCATTTATAATTTCAGTTATGTTATTTTAGCGGCATTTTATTTTTATCTGAAACTGGAAGGAACATGAATAGTTTTTTCATTGCCATCATTTTAGTACACTTTTTTTTTTTTTTTTATAGGAAACTTTGTGTTATGTATTACTGTGTTTTATTTTTTTTTTTTTTTTTATAGGAAACTTTGTGTTATGTATTACTGTGAAAGAAACTTATATAGTGGATCAGGTATTAACTGCTACAAAACCAACCCATCTAACTAGGGTCTGACCTGTAGAGATATGTTTAGCAACTAATATTTGTTTCTACGTTTTCAGGTCATGGCTCGATCTTCACCAATGGACAAGCATACCCTTGTGAAACACCTAAAAACCACTTTAAAAGAAGTTGTTGCGGCAACTGGTGATGGTACAAATGATGCTCCAGCACTTCATGAAGCAGATATTGGGCTAGCAATGGGCATTGCTGGAACAGAGGTATATCTTGAATGCTACTTTGCTATTTTTTTATCTGAAAGGCGTTTATACTGAAGTTGTGATATTTGAGAAATTCATTTTTTCTACTATGAAAATTTCCTAATTAATGGTTAAAACATTTTTGTTCAATCTGCAGGTGGCAAAAGAGAGTGCTGATGTTATAATATTGGATGATAACTTCTCTACAATTGTGACTGTGGCCAAATGGGGACGTTCAGTTTATATTAATATTCAGAAGTTTGTTCAGTTTCAGTTGACTGTCAATGTGGTTGCCCTAATTGTTAACTTTTCTTCTGCATGTTTGACAGGTAAGTAGACCTTGATCTTGTAACTTTCCAGCAGATTTATAACTTTTTCATACTGCTTTTCATGAATCAAAATTGCTTTTTCTCTTATGTTTTTGTGTTGGATATATTTTCAGGAAATGCTCCCCTTACTGCTGTTCAGCTTCTATGGGTCAACATGATCATGGATACTCTAGGAGCACTGGCTTTGGCTACAGAGCCTCCTAATGATGACCTGATGAAGAGATCACCGGTTGGTAGGAAAGGGAACTTCATCAGTAATATAATGTGGAGAAATATTTTGGGGCAGTCTTTATACCAATTTTTGGTGGTATGGTATCTTCAGACAAGAGGAGAAGCAGTTTTTCATCTTGATGGCCCAGATTCAAAGTTGATATTAAACACGCTTATTTTCAACACTTTTGTGTTTTGTCAGGCAAGTTCTGGTTTGAGTTAAATTGGGACCAATAGCCATATTCAGTACCTTACGAAAGTAAATCCAGAGAATTATTTCCAAAATTTTCAATTTCATTTATTCAGCTGTGCATACATTCATTTATTATATTATTCTTTTTTAATTCTTCATTCTTTTATATATTGCACTGTTTCTTTTGCTATAAACGAAAGGATAGCATGCTTTTTCAAAATTTATACTTCGCATATGAGACTCACACAAAACCTATATCTTCAGGTTTTCAATGAGATCAGCTCCAGAGAGATGGAAAAGATAAACGTCTTCAAGGGCATACTGAAGAACTATGTATTTGTGGCTGTTCTCACTTGCACTGTGTTCTTTCAAATAGTAATCATCGAGTTTCTGGGTACATTTGCCAATACATATCCTCTCAATTTGCAGCAGTGGTTTGTTAGTGTGCTTCTTGGATTTCTTGGAATGCCAATTGCAGCTATTTTGAAGTTGATCCCTGTGGGATCAAACTGAGATAATACAAACCAACAGGGGTATTATTCTAACCAATTTGTCAACAATCTTATTTGTGAATTAAGTTTCTTTCATTCCCCCTAAAAGAAAAGAAAAGCAAATGATTTTTTTTTATCTTCCTTCCCCAGATTATACACTAGTATTATTGCTGGGGCTGACACAGGTTTTTTACAAGTCAAAGGTTAAACTTGCTCTGAAACTTCTGACCAATGAGCTTTGTAAAATTATTTCAGTTTGGCTTTCGAGCCTTCTGTTTGATCATAGAATTTGTACTCAATATGCGCATCGGATTTTCTTTTGTCTGAATTCCTAGTCTTGACTAGTCTCGTCTTTTCATATTGCTATGTGTTTAACAAATGAAACAAGAGGTTAGATGACATAGATTAGTAAAATTATTTCAGTTAGGCTTTCGACCCTTCTGTTTGATCATAGAATTTGTACTCAAAATCATAGAATTTGTAAAATTATTTCAGTTTAGCATTCGAGCCTTCTGTTTGATCATATAATTTGTACTCAATATGCTCGTCGGATTTTCTTTTGTCTGAATTCCTAGTCTTCGCTAATCTCGTATTTTCATATTGCTGTGTGTTGCACAAATGAAACAAGAGGTTAGTTTAGTTCCCTAACCTGTTTTTAGGTATCGTTTTGTCATTAGGATTGAGAATGACTTATCTTGCTTAACAATGGAAATAAATTAGCCAAAATGTTTAATGGTTCATTTTCAAATGGTTATTTTGATCCGATGATTGATAGCCGGTTGAATTCAATCTGATATCTTCACTAGCAGTATGAGAAGATGATCAAACGCAGCTTAGTGACATTCTGCTGTGTTCAATAAATTTTGCCTTTCAGTCTTTCACCATCCATCCTATTTGTCTGTGTACCTCTCTGGGCAATTGAATTTTGGATATTTACAGAATCAAGAAGGCTGTTAAACTGTTAACCTAATATGACTGGTCATTAAATCGAGAGACTCTCAAGTCTCAACTCAAATTGGGAATAATGAATTTAAGAATTGGCTTAACTACTGTTAAGTGGAAGAATTCATTATTACTGTACTGTTTAATATTGACTGGATATCGCAGAAAGGGTAATGGTATGATGGCTATTATCTAAATATTGAAACATCATTTTAATAACTGTAAACTACCACAACCTGGCTATATCCAACGACTGCATAGTCCAACTACTTGGAGTGTATAGTTGCTGCCTGTTGACAGACAAACTTGAATGGTTGATGCGAATCTAGTAAGAGTATTTACAGAAAGATATTAACCCTGAAACTGAACACGAAGACTACGCTATGAAAATTGTAAGGTTGCCCAAAAATAAAATATCGATTACAAAAATATCTGAAAGTCGGGCAACAACTGAGCAAATGAAGTGTTTCTCGAAATAGCCAGATCACCATTATAATGCAACTCTCAAGCGTATAGTACTGTATAAAACTCGCGAAACCCATCCCTGGTATTTGTATTTCCCTAAGCATTGTAATTGATTGAAGCATAATATGCAGCAAAACAATCTGTCATGCTTATATTTAAAACATTCTTAATGGGGTTCCTCACTGTGTGCCAATTTGTTGGCATTGGGAACTTTCCTTTCAACGAACAATTGTACATGTACTATGGACGGAATCACATGACATGTTTGGTGTTTCCATAGTAACTTCCCATCATTGCTGAAAAGACTGGACACACACAGAGAGGGAGAGGGAGAGTGAGCTAAGAGACTTGAGATGAAAGCAATAAGTTCTGACATTAGCTATAGTCAAGTTAGGCATTTCTGGACCCAGCTAGTAAGTGTACCAGAGGCAGAAAAGTATTCGTTGCTAGTCTGACTGCAGAGCTGGAGTTCTATCTGCCAGATATTCGGTTTTACCCAAGAAATCGAGGGAAATAATACTTGCTTTTTTGCTTCCATTTTTCTTATTTATTATTTATATTATGTTGGAAAAGGCGATGCTAACAGTAGCAAAAGTAGCGAAAAAGTTAGCAACATATTTTATTTATTCAGTGATCTTGAAAGACACTCTGGATACTGAATGTGTGTGTGGTTAGTGGTTATAGAGCTAACATAATGTATTATGAGTAAAAAGATGTCATTATGTGTTGCATTGTCAAGTTAGGAATAGAAATGGACCTGGAAAAATGTAGCTGCAGTACACAGTACACGGTATAATCAACATAGAAATTCCTTTTGATTCCAGAAACAATGTCTTGGGTTTCATGACCCCTCAAACCTAAATACTTTGACAGGGAAGAAAGAGCAGGGCCCGCCCTTAAAGGCATCCCCAAACATTCAAACAAATCCAATCACAGTCATCTTTTATAATACTTTTCTGATGGCCAACATGCAACACAGATGCATCAAATCACACAAACAGAGTTCTTTCTTTCCCCACTTACTCAACGTTCTTTGTTACCAGCCTTTCAAAGACACAAGAAAGCATCCCAAGCATCCAATCAAAATGTAGGATTCTAAGAGACATCTTAAACCCATAAATAAAGAAACCAAGAAAGGGAAGACAATTAAATACAAAGAATGAAAAAACAAGGAGAAAAAAGAAAAAATATATATATAATAAATTGAACAATAAGTAACCAAGAACTGATTGCTTTACCAGTAGCCATTGAAGACCTTTCTTCTGGCGTCTTTTTTACCTTGTAAAATTGGTGTAATAACCAGAAGCTTTTATATTATATGTAGACTTGCTTTTATTTTCTCTGTAATCTCTCTTTCTTCTTTCTCTGGTTGTTCCTTGTAAAGACTAACACTCGAACAGTAAAACAAAGTCCATGTAGTAATAATTGAAAACACTCATTTAATTATCATTAAGGAGCCATTTGATTTAACGCCCAAAATCCATTGTCTCTAGCAGAATCGCTTCTCATTTGGTATATCACAACTTTGATCACTATCATCGAAAGCAAACCTTTTCCTCTTAGTGCGAACAGCCGAAGAAACTGAGGAACTATCTAAACCAGTGGTTATGCTCAAAGGGTTTGGCGATAGATCCGGCGACTTTACAGAATTTTGCATCTCCAATTTCTGCATTGTACTGTAGCACGCCAACACATCTTCCTGTGACAGAAATATCCCAACAAGATGTTTAACACCCCTGGATCATATTATTATAGCAGACTGATTCATCTAGTCGCTAGAAAATGACAGAAATAAATTAGTAAGGGACTCACAATTTCAAGAAATCCACAATATGATATGGAATTAATCTTCCACTCCAATGCTTTTCTTGTGAGTCTTTGATCCAATGCCACCAAGGTGGCAGCTGCGGCTATAGTAGACGGTCGATAATCCATTAAATTGATTTCTGTAATTGCCAAAAAGCATAGAGAAATATAAACCAAATGAATACAAAATCAAGATGAAGCTAAACTCATATATTCAAGAAGAAACCTCTCATTATAGCAAATATTAGTGTCGCAGTCCTGGATATGACATCATTTGGTGGATCCTTGCACAATTTCGTGATGAAGTAATGAAGAAAAGTAAAGGGGGTGATTGATCCCATTCTCCAATCCAGTGTTGTCAATACCAAAAGCTCCATTTTCAGAATCACTCTGCTCTCGAAATTGTATTCTTCCAATTGAAACTCTGATAGTGCTGGAACCTTTATCTCCTCCATCTTAGCAGCCAGAGAAAGGCATGCTACTGATAATAACTTGATTGCCCATGATTTTTCACCCTGTACCAACATCATCAACTCAACTCAAAAACAAGAATGACCAATAAAGAGCATTAACTTTCAATCAAAGTTCAAAAGTCTTTGGCATTATCAAATAATTAAACTTACATCAATGAAGAGTTTGGAAAGGAATCGATCGAAGTATGTAACTGATAAACAAGCTGTTTGGAAGTGAAAGCCAAACACTGCTCTAGTCTGCGCTAATACAAAAACAATCATAAGTAAAAAAATCACAAAAAATGAACTTAGCTCAATCAAAGCAAAAGAAATGGGCTGTTGAAACTAACTTTAAGAATCCATTCAACAGCTTCCAATCTGGCACATCTAATTTCTTCATTATGCACCAAAGATTTATCTTTTTTGTACCCAAAGCTCATCTCTTTATCACCCAACACTTTCATATACTGATCATCTAAGACACTGTAATCCTTTAAGTTATAAAAGCTGCTTTGTACTAATTCTTCATTCAGAAAAGTTTCACTTTCTTGACAAAGAAGCTCAGAGAAAGAACCATCATCCATTTTTATTTTTCTATGTATCCAAACAGATAGAAAAATATATATATAATCTAACAAACAGTATCAAATGATACATTATTAAGCATAGTTTGGAAAGAGAAAATGAGGTTGACCACCATGTGATGAATTGAAAGATTGAACAGAGAGACAGAAAGATATGGAGATGAAGATGGAGAGGTAAAAAATCTAGCCCAAATGGGTTACTGATTAAACGGTTATAGATTGAACCAAAAAAAACAAAAGAGTCTGGTTGAGTTATATGCATCTGCAATTGTCTTTAACCTCAGATTGCGATATTCATATTGCAGTAAAAAGCAATTTATTTATTTATTTAAATGTATATTTGGGTTGGGTGGGGCTTGTGTTGTCACTTTGGGATGACCGAGTTTTGACTGAAAGAGTGTGAGTGGTTTCAGGGCAAGAACAGAATCGATGTTTGCTGGACGGGAGAGTGTAGAGCGTGTAATACACTGTCGAATAAGAAGTGAATGAAGCATTGTGAAGTGGGTACCGTACATGGGGTCGTACGTGAAAAACGCACCTTTTTGTTGTGTACTCCTGATCAGTCAAACATGGCCATGTCATTCCAACAGAAAATTCATCATTTACGATTTGATGGCTTTGGAAGTTTTTGATAATTTAGGAAGAAATAACATCTTTTAAACTGCCGTTGGGTCTTCGATCTAAAAAGATAAAAAAGAAGCTTATTTAAGCTCATCAGTCATCAGCTTTAGTCTTTTTAGACGTTGATAAAGGATGATTATGGGAGTTTTACTCTATCTATTTTCAGCGTCTCGAAAAATTAATTAAAATGTAATATAAATTATTCTGTTTGAGGGTGTTCGATTCTAGATACCTTGTATTTTTTGAAGGAATCAGAATCAGAAACAGAATCAACGATTCTTTGAAATTTTGAATCGGAACTAAAACTGACGGTTTCGATTCCTAGATACTTAGAATCGAACCTGTAATAACGGTTCTGAGTATCCTATAAAATTCGTGACACCCAAAAAGTTTTCAAAATGACAAAAAAAAAACCTAAAAAACTTACAAATACCCCCCCACCTGACACTTGTTAACAAAAATAAAATTACAAATTATAAATTTAAAATTACAAACTTCATTACTTTATAAAGGTAGATTCACAAAAGTCAAACGAACCTACTTTAAATGATATGAAATATAAATATAAATATAAATGTATTCACATTACTTTTTCTACAAAAGTTTTTATTAATCCCCTCTACTCTTTAATTTTATTTTATATTAGTTTCGGTTCCCGGTTCTGGTTCCTAACTATAGAAACCGAAACCACACAGTAACGGTTCCAAAAATTTAGAACCAGAACATACCCGTTAACGGTCGATTCCGGGTAAGAACCAGAACCAAACCCCGAATACCTGTCAGTTTCGGTTCCAATCGATTCTTTTGAACACTCCTAATTCTGCTCATAAAAAATAAGAAATTTTTTTTATACGTTTGTATATGTAGATCATTTTTGTCAAATATTTAATGTTGAAGGCCTATTTGCAAAACTGTTCATCCACCTCTTATTTTATAAAACCCCTGACCCTGACCCTGAGCATATAATATTTATATGAAGTCATTGATTAACAAAGTGATTAATGAATTATGTCAAATACAGGAAACCCTTAATTCATATTATATTGAAAGATGACACAAATCCAAAAGCCACTTAACTGTCAAATTTAATGACTCCTTGGACACATCTCACAATTTAATTCTAACCTTATTATAATATTACTCCATTTTTCTTATAAATAGTCTTGTTTAGGTTAATCTTAACCCATTTATCAAGCATTAGATAGCCTTTAATTAATATTCTTCTGAATCCGGTTTATGCTTAACTGTGCCCACATACCTCTTTTATTCTTAGATTCGATTTCTGGAGCATAAAAAAAAACATTATTAAGTCTCATTTTATATTAGTTTTCTTCTCCTTCATTTGGTTATGGAATCTTTTTAGTCAATTGTTTTTCATTTTGTTTTGGCAACAGTGCCATGGAAACTTAATTAAGCATATGTATAAAAAGAAAAATTGTTAGCCATTTTGGGTCATTTTAATGACTAATTAGCTTTGAAATTCTGTTCGCTCGATGCAGTTCAATTATATATTAGACCTCAAGTCATAAACCATTTTTCAGCAATTAATGATTCAATCAAGTCTTTTTTTTTTTTTTTTTCTTTTTTTTCTTTTTTTTTTCCCATTTAATCGGGTTCAATCAAAATTAGATCCACGCTTTAAGCTGATCATACAATAAAAACTTGCACTAATTACTCACGTGTCTATTCTTTTTTCCATTGTATTTTAATTCTTCTTCTTGTTAAACATATTCACCAATGAAGTAATTACGTTTTAATCAACAAATTTAATAATTTTTTTTTTGGGAAGTATATCATTTGACTAGGGCGTAGGGCTCTTCAATTACACTTATGATTTGTAGGTTTATAATTAATTATTAATTGTGTAAGCATTATACGGTTGAATACGTAGATGTAGCAAATATACGTGACGTTGATATGAAGAATCTTAGGCAGAGGCCTCCAATATTCAATTCTTTCTCTGTAACTCTCATCGCATCTTAAAGAGGGACGCGGATGTTCAGTTAATCTTTAATTATCATCTCAGAAAAATACCTTAAGTGATGATTAATGAAGAGTGAAAGTGCGTAATAATGGAATAATCGATCTAATCTAGTTTTGCCATTATTATCTGGCTATAACGATATTAATCTGTCACTTCTATTAACTTATTTCTTGTTGTATTGTGAAAAAGAGAATCTTGAAGCAGAGAATTGCAGTTATGTCAAGCACTCACGCTACAAGAAAAAGTAATAATAAGGGCTGATCCTGACCTAATTCCTAATATCTATCAGTCAATCTTTTCAGGGAACCAGCGTATTCATATATGCATGGTTCGCCATCGTCAGAACCTTGTTCATGGCTAAATTTTCTTCTATACTCTTCTTCTTAAGTAGTTTGAGTGATTACAAATTAACCTGGACTGAAGACAGTATCTTTACTTTACTATATATATAGACTTCCAGTGCGCTCCAAATTAAAATCATCACATATCACGAGTCATCAACGATGGATATAATTAATACGATCAAACTAACAGAAAAATATATGCTGAGGTGAATTTTACACCACATCATCAATCCTATCCATTCTATCATGTCGCCATTGATGGATATAGATATGTAGATTAGTTGGAAAGGTTGGTATATATGACAATAAGGTCATATGTCAGGGGAAATTGGGTACTGCGGGGATATAATTTTAGGGCATACTTAATTTACAGAGATGTTGTGTCTCTTTAAAGAGACATGTTACATATGTGCTACTGCCTTTGGTTCAACTGTGGCAAGCCCCCATACAAACTGATGCAATGCAAGGGGCCAATTTCTCCTTTAAAGTCTCCCGCACATCAATTGGCAAGCCCCCATATATATGTGTGTGTGTGTTGAAAAAGCGATAATTGAGGTAAAGATAATTTTTAATCCTAAAGAGCCCAAGGGGCTCCATAATCATCAAAAATCAAAAGCAAAAAGCAGGTGAAATGAGAGGTGGGTGCATGGCCACCTGTGCTGTGATCGACAGTTTGCCAAAACAGAAACAAACCCCCCCGGCGCAAGACTTGTACTTCAAACTGTGGAGCCCATAGAGAGAGAAAGGACCCATGCAAACCATAAAAGTTCATCTACTACAATAGTAGCTCTATTAACCAATGTAAATATCAGAGTAATGGAGAAACAGGAGAACGTTGGCATCAGACAGTATCGTATGTCTCCTACTTAACCCTACATGAAGTTGTAATGAAAACTCTTATCGGCAGATATTAATTGTAATTAATTCATATAGGGACACCTTCTTCTATACATCTCAAATTGGTCAAAGGGATAGCGAATAAGAAATTATAATTGGATCTATGTATTATGTATAGAGATCCAATTACATCCATGTCGATCAATTCTTCGATATAGCTAGAAATTTTCACACTGTGGATTAGAATTTAATTAAAATAGGAATCTGCAAGCAAATGGTTGTCAGTAAACTATTGAATTTGATTAAAAAGTAGATTGTTTGAAAAACTAGGAATATTTTGGAACTTAATTCATGTCCCACGCCTTGAATAATATAAGATCTTGACCATATCTTTCTAAGCCAATGAAATTTTCATTACAAAGCTTTCCCATGCCACACGTTTTGTTTATCTTGTGTCTTTAAACCGTTGTTCATGAAATTGAGTGATTTTTTTTCGGATAATGCATCCACTAGGCCCCAGAAGAAACAAAAAAAATGAAAAGACAGTTAATACACATTAGAGGTTTGGTGAAGAAAATAATATGGAATTGTGGAAACTAGAGGTGACGAATAGCCGTGTGTCGTGTCAGCCCATCAAATTTGAAGGCCCATGGTACAACTCCTTATATGTCGTCCATGCTTTGGGTCGACCCACATGATTTATAAAAATATTTAATTTTAATATTTATAAATTATAGTAATTTTTATTTATTATTAATAATTATTATAAAAATATTTTATATATTATATTTAGTGACATTTTGTATTTATATTAATTAAAAAAATATAATCACTATAAAATATAATAAAATAATGAGACATTGAAATATTAATTGAATTTCAATATTTTTTATTACTTATAAGTTATAAATATAAATTACAAATACAAACTTAGAAATTAAGATTAAGAATTATTATACAACTTTATTTTCATTAATTTTTAAATTCTTATATTTTTATTTTTTTAAATATTTAAATATTGTTTTTTTCATGCCGGGTGGTGTCAATCCACGTGTCTTTTTCAAGATCATGACACGGCCTACATATTTTTGTGCCTGTCGTGTTATTTTTCATACCATACTTTTTTTCATGCTGCACTTTTTTCCACACGGCTGACCGCCTGGTAGTGAAACTGAAAGTGATATCAGGGAGAAGAATTAGGATAAATATTAATG